GAATTATGAATTAGGGCTAGGACAGTCAACAGTGTTTAGACAAATTGTATATTTGTATTTTTTTTTATGTCATAACAATATAAACCTTATATAATAATATATAAATATATAAACAAATTTTATATTATATATAATTTATTAAATTTATATAATTATCCTTAACGAATCGAATATTCGATAATATTTTCGAATCGAATATACACAAATTCGAATTCGAATTCGTTTAACTTTCGAATATAAAATATCATTCATATTCGAATTCGAATTCGAATATTTCGAATTTGAATCGCGAATACCGAATTCAAATATCAAATCGAATCAAAAAAATTTGATTTGACAAGAACCGGCGGTGAATTGTGAAAATTGTCTTGGACGGGACATCAGACGACGGATGCCGGGCGACGGACTAGTGAAAACGATGACTGATTTGTGAATTGTGATTGCGGCGGCTGTAGTGAAGAATGAAGAGTGTGAAGACGGGGAGTACGAATTATGAATTAGGGCTAGGACAGTCAACAGTGTTTAGACAAATTGTATATTTGTATTATTTTTTTATGTCATAACAATATAAACCTTATATAATAATATATAAATATATAAACAAATTTTATATTATATATAATTTATAAAATTTATATAATTATCCTTAACGAATCAAATATTCGATAATATTTTCGAATCGAATATACACAAATTCGAATTCGAATTCGTTTAACTTTCGAATATAAAATATCATTCATATTCGAATTCGAATTCGAATATTTCGAATTTGAATCGCGAATACCGAATTCACATATCAAATCGAATCAAAAAAATTTGATTTGTTTACATCCCTACGCTCATGCATATATTTGATATACTGATCATTCGCATGAAGAAAAATTAAAGAATAAACACATAATTCCATGCGGGGATAAAGAATGAAGAACGAGGAGTCAATTCACTTTGTATGTCATGTGGGAGCCAGCAAGAGCAAGATGAAGATGGGAAACAAAGGCAAAGGAAAGGAGGTTGGTCCACTCAAAGTTTCTGGAGGACCAATCATTAAAGAGTTGAGGTGTTTCTTCTATAAGAAGTTAGGCCATCTCAAGAAAGATTGCCCGTAAAGGAAAACTTGGTTCGAAAAGAAAGGTATGCATTATGTTTATGTATGCTTTGAATCAAATTTAGTAGAGGTTCCCAATAATACTTGGTGGCTTGATTCTGGTGCAACTACTCATGTATCCCATATTTTGTAGGGATTCAGATCGATCCAAATCATAAAAGAAAGTGAGCAATACTTATTCATGGGAAGCATGATGAAGGCACGAATAGAAGGCATAGGGACGTATAGATTGATCTTGAGCACTGGTTGTAATATAGATCTTGAAATATGTCTTTATACACTTGAATGTGCTCGCAATCTTGTTTCATTAAGTAGATTCGCAATCTTGTTTCATTAAGTAGATTGGATCTTTTAGGTTATTTCTTTAATTTCGATAATGCTTCTTTTTCATTGTACAAGAACAAATTATTTTGTGGCAATGGAAATTTGGTTGATTCACTTTACCGTTTTGAATTGCATAAAGAATTTTCTGAATCCTTGTTTAATGTTTAAAGTGTTCTTGGGATCAAACGTAGTGCATATAATGAAAATTCTGCTCTATTATGACATCAAAGATTAGGTCATATATCCAAAGAAAGGTTATTAAGGATGGTGAAAAATGAAATCATCCCTCACTTGGATTTTAGTGATCTAGATGTATGTGTAGAATGCATTAAAGGAAAGCAAACTAAACATATATTAAAGAAATCAGCCACTAGAAGCACTCAACTCTTAGCTTATCACACTGATATTTGTGGTCCATTCGACGTTCCTTTGTGGGGTGGTGAAAAGTATTTTATCACCTTTACAGATGACTTCTCACGTTACGGTTATATCTATCTACTGCATGAAAAGAATCAATCATTGGACTATCTAAAGATATGCATTAATGAGGTGGAAAGGCAGTTAGATAGAAAAGTGAAAGTTGTGAGATCTGATCGTGGGGGTGAATATTATGGTAGGTTCAATGAAAGAGGACAATGTCGAGAGTCGAGGCATTTGTGCACAATACACTATGTCTGGGACTCCTCAACAGAATGGTGTTGCTGAGAGTAGAAACCGTACTCTAATAGATATGGTTAGGAGTATGTTGAGTAATTCAACATTATCGTCATCTATGTGGATGCATGCATTAAAGACTGTTGCATATTTGCTAAACAGAGTTCCTAGTAAGGCAGTTCCTAAGACACCTTATGAACTGTGGACGGGTAGGAAACCTAGTTTGAGGCATCTTCATGTTTGGGGGTGTCAAGCAGACGTGAGGCTATATAATCCACATGAAAAGAAACTTGATCCTAGGACAGTCAGTGGTTTTTTCATTGGCTGTCCAGAAAAGTCTAAAGGATATAGGTTACGAGAATAGTTGATTCCAGCAATGTTCGGTTCATTGAAAATGATCAAATTAGTGGGAGTTTGGAACCGCGAACTGTGGATGTCAATGAAACTCGAGTTGAATTGTTCAAGCCCGAGAATCCATCAACAGTTGTTATTCCTCTAGTCGCATTACCATCACGCAACTTAGATGAACAACAGAATGATCCAAACTCAATTGATAATGAACCGGACACAAGCAATCAAGAGATTATAGAACAACCTGTGGTAGATGCATGTAACGCCCCGTTTTATTTTAAAGAGTTTACCGAATTTATTTATAAAAATCAGAGTTTATTTTTCGCAAAATCCCAATTTAAAACATTAATATTCAACATGCGCTACTAAAAAAACTAAAATGAATAAACATTTACACAGCTAAACTCTAACAGTTCAAAATAAAATTTCAAATATTCAAATCCTGAAACCCAGTCATGCATAATTAAATATTCAACATGTTCGAAATAAATAAAGCGGAAGCATAATTATTCAAAGATAAACAGATGGTCTATCGAGACAATAAAAGAAGAACGGAAGCAAGTAACACACAATCCAACGACCACCACTCGATCGTCTCTCGCTGCCGCCGCCAACCATGCTCAACCTAAAAGATAGGAAGAGGAACAAGAGGACATAAAAGTAAATGGGGGTGAGTACAACCATCATACTCATCATTACCGCACAGTATATTTCGCATAAAGATCCATAACCATAAATAATGTATGCATAGAGTCTAGATCTAACTCCCTATTAGGCCCTATCGCAAACCTCCTATGTACATACAACAAACCTCCCGACCAGACATCGGCGAGGATGTAACTGGAAGCACTCCCACCCCGGATGCAACGGGCGTAGGATCTTACCAGGAGACAGTGAAGTTGAATTACCCCTCCGCTCTACACAGATTCGGGCGCCCACCTCCCGGATGCAACGGGCAGGTGACTTCCACTGATTATGCATTCGTCAAAGGCACTACCGTTAGGACGCTTAGACTAGGGTTCTCACGCATACAAAACCTATCGCGGCAAACATTTATACGAAATAACAAGTGCGATAAATGTAGATTCAACATAAATGAACCCACCTGGTAGTGATCGAGTCAAACACAAAATAAATGGTAGTCGACCTCGCCGACTCGTCAAACACCTACATTTATTAAAATAGCCTTATCAAAGACTATTCGACAATTTACTTAGTTCAACTAAGTCCACATAAGCATTCAAGCATGCATTAAACCAAGGAAGACACAGTTCAGAAATTATCACATAAGTTTGGAAAATTTAACCCGGCAGTGTTTTTGAAATCGATATAACTTTCAGCACACAACTCGTATGAACACAAATCAAATTGCATTGGAATCCTAAGAGATGAACCTACAATTCTTATGAAGACACTGAAAGCAAATAAGGTCATTTAACAGGTGATAAATCAACAAACATTCAAAATTGAGTCACATTCCAAAACTGGGAAAGTAAACTTCACCAGACTTCAGTAATTTCTATATAACTGGAGCTACAGGCATGCTTTTAATGAATTTCAAAAACCACATGATAGATAACTCAATTTTCTACAACTTTTTTCTGAAGATCATATTAGCAAATAATCACATTATCCACGAGTTAAAACACAAAACATGTGATTCAGTAAAACTGTCAAAAATTAACATGATATGGACAGCACCTAAGTCATTATCATTTAACTCGAGCTACACACCTTCAAATGATATGGTTCTAGTACCAAATTAAACCTTAGGTATGTCTCTACAACTTTAATTTAGAACACATAATCATATGAGATCATTTGAATAGTACAAAATCGGTTAACATTCATTTTTAGATTTCTGCCAACATGATAATTCCTAACTCATGCATATCTAACTTCATAAAATCATAACTCGAGCCACGGAGCACATATCAACATGAAATTTATCTTGTTTGAAAGTTAAGAAACAGATCTATAACTTTCATGAAGAGTCCAAGTTCATACGAGCAGGTTATGACATGAAAAACAGATCAAATATTAAACACAGTTATCTGCCGGGTATGGGAAAAACTAGAAGTACAATAAATCTTGTAAAAATCATATCTTTTCCGATATAGATCGGAATCGAGAAATTTCAAAACCCAGATATGGAAAACTCAATATAATACATATCTCATGAAGGTCACAATTTCAAATACTTAGTTTTAGAGGGTCATAATCGCATCGCAACAGCGCAGTATTTCTCAAGATAAAATATGCTTATATAAATCGGAAGGAATCCGATTCCAAACAAGGATTCGATATAACGCACGATATATATATCTAACATGCGATATACGAGCACGACTGGAAAAACGAAAGGGTCCAAATAAGTTACCCGTCTTCGGGAATCTACGAGCTATCAGAAAAAAAACGAGCCGAACAACGGCCGGACGAACGGGTCGGAGTTCCGCCAGAAACACGGGAATGGAGGGAACTTGCTGGAAAAGAGCTCGAGGAGGTGCTGCGACTTTGCTGCTGGTCGGGCTCGAGGCTGCTGGGGTTGGTCTCGCTCGCCGGTTAAATGCAGCGGCGGTGGTCGGGCGCGGAGGGCCTGCTGGGCTCCGTCGGAAGGGAATCAACCGCTACTCGATGGAAAGGGCCGATTGCTGCTCGCCGGAGGAGTTGCAGCGTGACGCGGATGAGGAGATGACATGAAGTGAGTTTGGCGAGAGACTCGGTCGCGTAGTTAAATTTTTGAACATATATGTTGGACGGATTGATCAGTTAACAACTGATAAAATAGACCTGGCGTATTAAATAGAAAAAAAAAAAACAGATAAAAAGAAGTAGGTTCAAATGAGAATGGTGCATAATGTGAGAAATGAGAATAAATCTACACCACATATTCTGTTAAATTAAAGGTCAAGATCAAGTCTGTTGACGTTGATCGCACTGTCATTAGACGGTGGCATACGCGTAAATAAACACTAACCTTGTGGTCAATAATATTAATGGAAGGGCATTAACGTATTTTCCGCCAGCAGAGGGGTTTTGGGGTTGATGTCTGTTTCCAAACCCATTAATTATTTTTGGTGTAACGTGCGCAGATCTCAAGGCGATTTTTCAGTGGAAGAGTTCTTCGGTGGTGAGCCGATTTCTCACAATCTCGATTCAAAATTGGCTGAATATTAGATTATCCCTGTTTTCGGTTTATATTCTTGTGTTCTGAATGTTTTAAAGTTGGCGTAGTTTTAAAGTTTTCATGTGTTTTTTTGAGATGTGACTTCTAACTATTTGTATATTAAGTAGATGCACCGTGTAAGAGGCATTCAGACGATCCTGGATGTGGTACTGACCGTGCGAAGCATATGAAAGTCGGTCCACTCAAAGTGAGTCAACCTGATAGTGATGATTTCGTCGACGATATGCCTAGACACAGTCTTGAGAAAATTACGAAGGCTAAGCGTGGTATATTCACTTAATTAAAATTTATTACGTATATAAATTTATTTGTTGTTGTTACTTGTCTAGCTTACGATTTGAATTTAATTTTCAGTCAAGGGTAAATATGAAATGTCAGACGACGACACTTTAGGCAAATATATAGACAACTATGTTGCGGACGATGTCGGCGATGAGGATGGTGGCAAGGATGATGCATTCCCGAGCGTGAACACAAGGTCGTCAGCATCAATTTTCGTGAAGGCAATTTCTGACATGTCTGACGTGAAAAAACATGCGATACGGGAAATGGGACTGGGGTGTTTATTGAAGTTGGGCATAACATCAACCCCGTCAAAAATGGGTTTCTGGCTAGTAGAAAACTTCAACCACCTTGACCAGAAGCTGCAATTATACGATGGTGGGAAGGTACAACATCAAGGAAGATGATGTGTATGTCGCATTCGGGCTACCCCGTGGGGATATTGAAATAAAAAATAAGAAGAAGAGGGTTACATCAAGTGTGCTGGATGATTGGATTGGGTTATTCAATGTTAGGAGTACAACAAATATCACGGCTTCAAAGGTGCTGGACAAGATGAAGGAGTGTGCTGATGCTGATGATTGGTTCAAGCGCCATTTTATCGTTCTCATGGTCTCTTGTCTGTTTGAGAGTTGTCCAAACGGAATGGCAAACTTCTGTTTAGTGCATATGCTCGACGATTTATCAACTGTAGCCAATATGAATTGGTGCTCCTACATGATTCGATGCTTGGTGGACAGCAAGCGATTGTGGGAAGCGAATGGTAAACGGAAGTACACAGGGCCTTTGTTGTTCTTGACGGTCAGTTAATTTATGTTGTTCCCTTATTTTTTCTTTTGGACATGTTTGTTTCCATTTTTTATTTTTTTAATTTTTGAGGTTACTATGAATCATATTTGGTATATTTTTTTGTGAGTTTTAGTGATGACAATTGCTTAATACTGTTTATATTTGTATCTTTGTTCTTGACGGCCCCGGTGAACGCTGAAACCCTAGCCGCCGCCTCCAGGATGATCATCTTCATCACGTTCGACTTTGAACACAAAATTACAGCAAAAATCGAACAAGAACAGCCCTACTACAGTCTACAAAATCGCCTATACTACCCACACTTATTATCTGGTGGGAAAAACGATTACAACAATACACAAGGGCTGCGATAGACACCATCCATAAGCATAAACGAGATAAAACATCATCCACACCATGAACATGACTGAAAACGAATAAATGAATAAACGAAATCAACTACATGTTCCAGGCAGAGCCGATAATCTACGAAACCGAGGCTCTGATACCAATTGCTGGAACACGCCGACGAGGCGGTCCTTCCCACGGATCGATATCGGGTACCAAACATGTACATACATGATTTCGATTAAACCCTAAGCATGCTCCTAAAGGACGAACAGAAAGTTTACCTTTCTTCGAGGCTTTGATTCGATCTGAGCGATCTTCTAGTCTGTGTCCCGACCACGTTTGGACGCCGGATGGACGACGATCTACCAAACGGTTGAAAAGAGCGGATTGTATCTCGTCTTATCTGAACCCTTCACGTCACTTCTCCACGATGGTGGCTGAAGAATGTCACGTTTTGTGATGTGTGTTAGGGTTGAAGACGTGCAATCCCTCCTTTTATAGAGGTCCTTGGGCCAGCCTAGGGATCTCTTAGAAGGTATAGGGTTTGGGCTCCCTACAGGCCCAAATTCTTATGTTCAGCCCAGAACACAATTTGGCCCGTAAATATTAATTCATTCCACTAGAGAATTAATATTGTACTCCCGTCCTATCCCGAAATGAATCAGGGCTTCTATTAGACTCGATATAATTCCCCGTGTTTAAGATATCGCACGTCCATTAATTATTAAAGCTTCTGACTGCTTTAATTAATTAATATCTTTTAATCCTTAAGTAGTACCACTCAACCTTATTATCGTACGGATTAAATCCACCTGCAGGGTTTATACGATAATCCTTATGAGTTCCTTAAGGGGACGTCACCAACCTGGATGTCCAGGACACGGTGCCCTAATGCCAATAAATAGATATCATGCAGATAGTGTTGTTACCCAAGATACGGAGCTATTGAACCAATACTTGGTCCTCACCCATGGTAAGTCAAAGTAACAAACAAATATCCCATATATCTAATTACCACAGTTAGGGTTAAGAATTAGTAGAGTCACCGAGACCTAGGTTCTTCATGATAGTCAGAACAGAAGAACACGTCTCAACTGTGATCCTTTCAATGCGACGCAGCGCACTAGTATAAACCAATAGCCAAGACAAGCTACATCCAGTTTATACTACAACCTACACCGATAGTCATGTCCATAACTATCTCAGTTGTGAATACCATTTATATCTTATAAGGAACCGACAATGTAATCTTCTGTGTGACTACTAACACACCACATTGTCTACAATATAAGATAATTGGACATTTAGCATACAAGCAATCATAAAGAATGCAACAATGTGAAAAACATTTATTTCAGTCAAATGGGAAATCGAATAATACAATCCAAAAGCTCACGTAAAAGTTTGCTTTACAGTATACTCCAACAATCTCCCACTTATACTAAAGCTAAACTTTTAGTATATAAACACATGCCATAACAATTCTCCCACTTATACTCAAAGTCTAGCTGCAACACATCGTAAACCAAGACCCTCTACGTGTTTCTCGAAGACATTGACAGTCAGAGTCTTCGTGAAAGGATCAGCCAGGTTTTCCAACGATGCTATCTTCGTCACAACCACATCTCCTCGTTTCACGATCTCTCGTATAAGGTGGTACTTTCTTTCAATGTGTTTACTGGCCTTATGTGCTCGGGGTTCTCTCGAGTTTGCGACTGCACCAGCATTGTCACAATAAATTGTGATACACCTAGGCACACTCGAGGATACCCCTAAGTCCAGTAAGAAGCTCCTGAGCCAAACAGCCTCCTTTGTTGCTTCTGAAGCAGCAACGTATTCGGCTTCCATGGTAGAATCTGCGATGCATTTCTGCTTCACACTCCTCCATGAGATCGCTCCGCCTCCCATCATAAACACATAACCCGAGGTCGACTTTCTCTTATCTCGATCAGCTTGGAAATCAGAATCTGTGTAACCCAAAGGAGTTAGACTGTCTGATTGGTAAACAAGCATATAATCCCGAGTTCTTTTCAGATACTTGAGAATATGCTTTACCGCAGTCCAGTGTCCTTGACCAGGGTTAGACTGATATCTTGCTACCATGCCAACTGCATAGCAAATATCAGGCCTCGTGCACAGCATGGCATACATAAGGCTTCCTACAGCCGAAGCATAAGGAACCTTAGCCATTTCCTCCATCTCCTTTTGTGTCTTTGGACACATATCCTTAGATAGAGGAACTCCATGCCGAAAAGGTAGCAACCCTTTCTTGGAGTTCTGCATGCTGAAACGAGCAATCACAGTATCAATGTAAGCAGCTTGAGATAGACACAACATTCTCTTCTTCCTGTCACGAATGACCTTGATTCCAAGAATGTACGATGCCTCACCCAAGTCCTTCATTTGAAACTGTTCTGAAAGCCATACCTTTACGTCTGACAAAACCTTGACATCGTTGCCAATGAGAAGAATATCGTCTACGTATAGTACTAAGAATACCACTACGTTTCCGTTGCTCTTTTTGTATACACAACTCTCGTCTTGACATTGATTAAATCCATAGGACTTAATCACCTCATCAAAACGAATATTCCAAGACCTAGAAGCTTGTTTTAGTCCATAAAGAGACTTCTTTAGCTTCCATACTCGATGCTCTTGGCCTTTCTTCACATAACCCTCGGGTTGCTGCATATAGATGTCTTCATCCAAGTTTCCGTTAAGGAAAGCTGTCTTGACATCCATTTGCCAAACCTCATAGTCCATGTGACTTGCTATGGATAAGAGAATCCGGATCGACTTAAGCATGGCTACTGGTGAGAAGGTCTCATCATAATCGATTCCCTCTTTCTGAGTGAAACCCTTCGCAACCAACCGTGCTTTGAAGGAAATAACCTTCCCGTCTGATCCTCTCTTACGCCTATAGACCCATTTGCACCCAATGGCTTTCTTGCCTTCAGGAAGGTCCTTAAGGTCGTATACCTCCATAGCATCTATAGATTCAATCTCAGAATCCATAGATTTCTGCCAAGAATCTGCATCTACGTCTTGGATTGCCTCATTGTAGGTCCAGGGATCACTATCATGCTCTTCACTTGGGATCAAGTCCGAAGACTCTCCCACAAACATGAAACGATCGGGCTGACGAACAACCCTCCCACTACGACGAGGTAATTCAGGTGTAAATACATCAGAGTCAACACGTTGTGCAGTCTCTTGTGGTATATCTTCTTGCACACTCGGTATGCCATTGTCTTCCCTCAACTCTTTGAGAATAATCTCACTCTTGGACTTATGCTCACTCATATAGTCTTCTTCTAGAAATCGGGCATTGGTGCTCACCACCACCCTCTGATCTTTAGGACTATAAAAGTAACCACCTCTCGTTCCCTTTGGGTAACCTACAAACAGCCGTACTTCCGTTCTAGGTGCCAACTTATCAGCTTCCTTATCCAACACATGTGCTGGGCAACCCCAAATCCGAATGTGGTTTAAACTGGGCTTGCGCCCGGACCACAATTCTATTGGAGTTTTCGGAACCGATTTAGAAGGCACAAAGTTAAGAAGGTACGCCGCTGTTTCTAAGGCATATCCCCAAAACGAGGTAGGTAATGAAGCATAGCTCATCATCGATCTCACCATTTCTAACAGAGTCCTATTCCTTCTCTCTGCCACGCCATTCTGTTGGGGAGTACCAGGCGCAGTCAGCTGGGATGTAATCCCATTCTCTAATAAGTATTGCCTAAATTCATTGCTAAGGTATTCGCCACCACGATCAGATCGCAGTGACTTGATACTTTTCCCTTGACGGTTCTCCGCTTCTGCCTTGAATTCTCTGAACTTGTCAAAGCATTCAGACTTGCGGCGCATCAAGTAAATGTACCCATATCTTGAGTAATCGTCAATAAAAGTAACGAAATACTCAAAACCACCTCTAGCTTGAATAGACATAGGCCCACACAAATCAGAGTGAATCAATTCCAACACATCATTGGACCTATTCCCCTTGGCCTTAAAAGGCCTAGAAGTCATCTTGCCTTCCAAACAGGATTCGCAGACTGGAAATGGTTCAACTTGGAAAGAATCCAAGAAGCCATTACCTACCAGTCTTTGGATCCTCCTTAGATTGACATGACCCAACCTTAGGTGCCAAAGATACGTTTGATTCGACTGAGAAGGTTCTTTTCTCTTGTTTAGTGATGAAGATGCATGAGCCTCAGTCACAGTATGATATGCACAAGTAATAGTATAAAGATTGTTAACCAACATGCCAGAACAGATAAAAGAGTTATTTCTCATAATAACAGCATTGTCATTAAAAATAACTGAATATCCATCCAAAAACAGCTTCGAAACCGAAATTAAATTCTTCCGAAAACTCGGCACGTACAAAACGTTCTTTAATACTAAAACAGAATCAGAAAAAGATAAGTGCACATCTCCCACTGCAACCACCGCCACTCGTGCAGCGTTGCCCAAGCTGATGGTAATCTCGCCCTCACTGAGCTGCCTTCTTTGCAGAAACCCCTGCAAAGTGTAACAAACATGATCAGTGGCTCCTGTATCTACTACCCAAGAACTGGTAGAACAAGCCGCAAAACATGTTTCGACAACTAAAGCAAGAGACATACCAGGAGTGTCCTTGAGGGGACAATCTGACTTCCAATGTCCTGTCTTGTTGCACTTGAAGCACTTGCCTTTCGGCTTCTGCACGCCACCAGAAGGCGCTACAGCTTTGCTCCCACTGCTCCCACCACTCTTTTTCTGCACTTGCTTTTTCTTCTTCCCGCCTTTCGACGAAGAAGGTCCAGCTTGTACAGAAACATGAGCCTGTGGTCCCCTGCCCATAAGACCCTCCGCTGCAACCAAGTCCACAAGAAGCTCGGCTAGAGTATAGCCCTTCTTGTTCATGATTGCATTCAGGCGGAAGTTCTCATAGGACTTCGGGAGCGAGTGCAGGATGATATCGATCTTGGCATCGCCATCGATATTTCCTCCGAGCACATCTATCTCATTCAGATATTCCATCATCTTGAGAACATGCTCTCGCACAGAAGCTCCCTCCGGCATGACAGAAGACATAATCTTCCGCATAGCCTCAAAACGAGCAGCCCTATCTTGCTCACCAAAGAGTTCCTTGAGGCTCAACATCATGTCAGCAGCAGTAGGCATGGTGTGATGCTGCTGTTGCAAAACATTTGACATAGATGCCAAGATGTAGCAACGAGCCATCTCATCAGCCTTATGCCACTTCCGATGAGCCTCCCTTTCCTCTTCGGTAGGAGCAGCGCCCAAAGGAGCAGGAGCAGGTGTGGTGAGCACAAATTTGTACTCATCAGCAACAAGGACAATATCCAGATTCCTCTTCCAGTCCAAATAATTTGGACCAGTAAGCTTGTTTTGATTGAGAATGGTCATAAGCGGATTGAATGACATGATGAATAACTGAAATAAATAATTGCAAACACGTAAGCAATAATTCACATAAATTTGAAGCATAAAATATGGAAACCTTCAAAACCATTATTTTAACGCATCCTTCGACAACTTAAACAAACACACATGCAAGCCACGTTAGGGTGGACGTTTACACATATGTCCATTAAGCAGACACCCGGTCATTAATCTCAATTGCACGCCAACCTGTCCTTATGGCGAATGAAATTAATAGTCGAAAATTTTTAACACTGGCCATGTGAATTAAAACAGGGACTCCGTTGGGGAGTTATATTAAAATTCACATCTAAGTGATGACCACAATTTAACCCCAAGAACAATCATTCACAATTGATGAACTTACCGATGGGGAAGACACATCGCTTGTAAATAATTTTCTAAGGTTATCTCGAAATAATCTTTACCGGTGAACTTATGAATGACACTATCCGTTAGGGAGGAGACCCCATGGGTCACGCGTATGCCACTCACTTCACCTAAAGATTAAGTCGTTTGAATAGAAGTCTTATCTAGTAAGCTCGTGAATGTCGCATCCGTTAGGGGGAGACTCCCAAGGTCCCGCGAGCGACAAACACCTTACTTAAAGACCAATTGTGGAGGCCAAATGAATTAATTAAAATTCATATCAAACTCACTTAGTCATTTTTACTTGAAGGTTTTATTAGCATGCAACAAGAAATAATAAAATTCCTAGCATGCTCCTAACACGCAAATCACATAAATCCTAGCATGCTCCTATAATTCAAATAAAAGCAATAACAGCTTTCTAAGAATTAAAAGCACCTATTTACATGATTTCTAGCATGCCAGAAAAGCGATTTAAATCAGCTAGACACATAAACAAATAAACATGCTCTAGCAAAAATTAAATCGGCATCCACAAAGCGATAAAATGCGAAAATTAAAACACATCTATCGCAGCCCCTTAAAACCAACCACTAACAGCCTATCAAAGCTATTACATGATTCAGCAAGGTCGTGGATGAACACTCGAATCGGCATCTCGCGCAAATCGGGCCATTCACGCGGTATCGGCACCCACCGACGGAAAAGAGCCAAAAACTTCATCTCGACGATTGAATTTGACCCCGCCACAGGCTGTTACGGCATAGCCGTAACTCTTGTAGATCTCGTTCTCCCGTTTCCGAATTGGTATTATGGGCTGAAATCGGACACCTGTAGCAAAAGTTATGGCCAAAACGGTTTTCGCCGACGAAACCGGCCCCGGTGAATGCTGAAACCCTAGCCGCCGCCTCCAGGATGATCATCTTCATCACGTTCGACTTTGAACACAAAAGTACAGCAAAAATCGAACAAGAACAGCCCTACTACAGTCTACAAAATCGCCTATACTACCCACACTTATTATCTGGTGGGAAAAACGATTACAACAATACACAAGGGCTGCGATAGACACCATCCATAAGCATAAACGAGATAAAACATCATCCACACCATGAACATGACTGAAAACGAATAAATGAATAAACGAAATCAACTACATGTTCCAGGCAGAGCCGATAATCTACGAAACCGAGGCTCTGATACCAATTGCTGGAACACGCCGACGAGGCGGTCCTTCCCACGGATCGATATCGGGTACCAAACATGTACATACATGATTTCGATTAAACCCTAAGCATGCTCCTAAAGGACGAACAGAAAGTTTACCTTTCTTCGAGGCTTTGATTCGATCTGAGCGATCTTCTAGTCTGTGTCCCGACCACGTTTGGACGCCGGATGGACGACGATCTACCAAACGGTTGAAAAGAGCGGATTGTATCTCGTCTTATCTGAACCCTTCACGTCACTTCTCCACGATGGTGGCTGAAGAATGTCACGTTTTGTGATGTGTGTTAGGGTTGAAGACGTGCAATCCCTCCTTTTATAGAGGTCCTTGGGCCAGCCTAGGGATCTCTTAGAAGGTATAGGGTTTGGGCTCCCTACAGGCCCAAATTCTTATGTTCAGCCCAGAACACAATTTGGCCCGTAAATATTAATTCATTCCACTAGAGAATTAATATTGTACTCCCGTCCTATCCCGAAATGAATCAGGGCTTCTATTAGACTCGATATAATTCCCCGTGTTTAAGATATCGCACGTCCATTAATTATTAAAGCTTCTGACTGCTTTAATTAATTAATATCTTTTAATCCTTAAGTAGTACCACTCAACCTTATTATCGTACGGATTAAATCCACCTGCAGGGTTTATACGATAATCCTTATGAGTTCCTTAAGGGGACGTCACCAACCTGGATGTCCAGGACACGGTGCCCTAATGCCAATAAATAGATATCATGCAGATAGTGTTGTTACCCAAGATACGGAGCTATTGAACCAATACTTGGTCCTCACCCATGGTAAGTCAAAGTAACAAACAAATATCCCATATATCTAATTACCACAGTTAGGGTTAAGAATTAGTAGAGTCACCGAGACCTAGGTTCTTCATGATAGTCAGAACAGAAGAACACGTCTCAACTGTGATCCTTTCAATGCGACGCAGCGCACTAGTATAAACCAATAGCCAAGACAAGCTACATCCAGTTTATACTACAACCTACACCGATAGTCATGTCCATAACTATCTCAGTTGTGAATACCATTTATATCTTATAAGGAACCGACAATGCAATCTTCTGTGTGACTACTAACACACCACATTGTCTACAATATAAGATAATTGGACATTTAGCATACAAGCAATCATAAAGAATGCAACAATGTGAAAAACATTCATTTCGGTCAAATGGGAAATCGAATAATACAATCCAAAAGCTCTCGTAAAAGTTTGCTTTACAGTATACTCCAACAAAGTCAACCTCGTTGCACTAGTGCCACAAAGAGAAGTGATGCAACGAATGTCAACGTGAATTGTGCTGCCTCTCAGATAGCCGATGATGCGTTTTGGAATGATCCTGTAACATTAGCGGCTATAGACGACATTATGAAGGCAGTTGAGCAATGAGAGAGTTTTCGAGAGCGTTTTCTGAGAGTACATAACGAAAGGCCTAGCTACAGCTTTGGCTTGTCGTCAGATGACGAAGACGCCGATGATAACCATGACCATGCGAGCGGGGAAGCAACTACATTTGTGATTCCTGCTGTGACTCCTGGAGTGGTCATAGATCAACAAATGGTGGAGACGCCTCATGTAGTAGACGCACAAATAGATACGTTATAGAAATATTTCATTCATATACGTACGTGTGATTTTTTTGTTTTTCTCTTCTTTTTTGTTTAGTATGTTTGCGTCCACTTATCGATGTTGGTTATTCGTATTACATTATATATTTATTTATATGCATGCAGGTGGTGTTGACGTTGTACGTGGATCCCCGAGGCCAAAAAGGCACATCCAGGCTACCAGTGCAATGAAATCTCCCTAGCAAGAGAGAGCAATTGATGTGGTTAAGAAGCTTGACGGGATAGAGAAGATGATAGTCAACTGGATACTGAAGAATGATGCTGCTGATGGGTACGATTATTGTTGTTTAGCTAGACTTGAGACGTATATTTGATGAGTATTATTCTATTTTTTTTTTTTCCGTACGCATGATTACGGAAACGCCCAGCAATCTTGTTATATTCCAGTCACCCGAATACTCCGTGAAGAAGGATGTTGTTGAGTGTTTGCTGCCAGATACATCTATTACAGAAGAACTACTAGAGTTGTGGTCATTCATCCTGAACCATACGGAGATTTTGAAAAATCGTGGGGCGCCACAATGTTTTTTTGCATCTACGTCCCCTTGCAACGAGGTGCTATACTTTCCTTTACGCGTTTTTTTTATAATATGTGCATGTTACGAATATACTAATGGTCTCTTCTGTTCTTTTTTAAAAACAATTGATGCATACACACACACACACACATATACATATATATATTAGGTTTAATTATATACGGTACAAAGCTTAGCTCGAGATACTAGATGAATGTCCTACGATAATCGGCCATGTTGTGTGATGCTTTGATTGTTTTGGAATAATTTAGTAATTTGAGTAGACTACATTATTCTGTGACCTCTGTTATTCTGTGTTGCGATTAAGGACAAATGTGTTTTTATTTTTTCCTTTTTAGCATTGTGTTTTGCAGCTATTTTTTGATGGCAAAAGAAGGAAGGACTTGAGGTACAAAAAGTTTGCCAGACGCTAGATTCTGAAATTGCACGAATGTCCAGATACAAACTAAAACAGATATCGATGGTAATCGGTTTTCTTGATGATATACATTATGTTGCTATTGTATCGTTAATTACATGAACTACTCTGTTGGATTACATTTTCAACTACATATTTATTTTTATCCTCAGTTTTTATTTCCTGTGCACTCTGTGACATTTTCGGGATTATTATGCATGGCCCCGGAATCCCAAAAGTACACTATTTTAGACAGTGCCAGTAATTGCAAAGATGCGGCTGTGAAGAAGGCTCTCATGTCACGTGTCGGGCTGTTGGTAATGTTATAATATACATATGATTGGTGTTATTACATTTGTGTGTGTATTGTGTTTGTATTTACCATGTATTACTTTGTTACAGCAACAATCACTATCAAAGTATTTAGGCGAGAGGAATTTGTCAAGGAGTTCTAAGTTAGTTGGATTAGCTATTCCGGACGTTGTTGACATGGCATGGGTCAAGGGGGTTGATGAGGCTGATGTCGTGTGATCACAATGCGCCACATGGAGACTTTTAAGGGCGCTGCTGGTAAGAGTTGGAATCCACAGCTAAAGGTGGGAGACAAGGGACAGACGAAGCTCATGAGGAAGCGCTATAGTTATGTCATAGCTTGTGCACTGAATAATAAACTGAGGGATATCAATCTAGCGGAAGCAAATAGATTTCATCCGGTGTATCTCGCAAAGAAGCAACACGTGTCAGCATAGTGTGATTGAATGTTTAATGATGTGGACAGTGAATATGTTTGGAGTTAGTACTTGTTTTGATATTTTGTGGATCATCGATCACTTAATACTTTTGAATACTCTTGTGTGAATGATGCGTTTTGATGACATGACGTCGAATGGGCAATGGTTAACTGGATTTTTTTTTATGTGTTTTGCGTGTATATTATCTTGATGTCAGGTTATGATATGAATGCAAATTGTAGGGGCTCAGAGTTTTATTCCAGTAGTTGTTTAGGTTAGGAATTAAAATTTATATTGTGCATAGTAGTACACATTGTGCAATATTACACATGTTGTTGTGCAATACAATATTACTGCATATACTGTTTTAATGTTACACTTGAACCTATACTACAATTTTATGCGATTTGATTGACTGGTCGATATTATATATAATAGGTTTGTGAGCATCAATTAATATGTATGCGTGCGAAAGTGCGACAGTGTATCGTGCAATGTAAACATAATATTGTGAGCATCAATTAATTTTTATAATAACGGGTTTGTAGATTGAATTGTTAAATATACAACAAATATAACGAGCATGGTTACGTATAACAGTGGTAATGCCAATCCCGAATTGTTATATCTGTAATTTTTATAGTACAACACGGTTGGTTATGTTGTGCAGCTCGTGTGAAATATTGTGCATATACCTGTGCCATCAAAGCAGGAAATAAAGAACAGAATTCATATCATTCGTAGTGATAATACAACTATTATAATACTTCTAAAACAAAAATTGTGCCGACAAATTGTATCTAACAATTGTATGTCCTGACAATGAGCCATCACCGCGCGTGCAAGTGAAACTCCCAGACCATATGGATGACTGCCAATGCAAAATTTTACAAATTAGTATATGAATTTGATGATCAATAAAGAAAAAACGATGTGTTTGTGCAAACAAGGCGATTGTAACGTTATTCTGATAAATAATATTATGTAAATATTCTGAATTTTTTTCAACAAAGCACCCTGTTGAATTTGTCAGTAAATATACAATAGTCATATTAAATACAAATATGTAATATACAATGTAAATGTAAGATATTTATGTATTTTATAACAGTACAATTGAAATTGTTTACCTCCAACCATTTCTAGATAATATGTTGCTGCCTTTTAGGGCATGTATGCGTATTGTGCCCGGCCCTCTCACCACACGTCTTGCAAAGTCTTCTTTTTTTATTGGACTGTTCAATTGATTTTTCCTTGGGGGATGGATGCTTACTGATTCGGGAGCAGATGTGCCGACAAACGTATCAAACCTCTATTCTTTGTCAATGCTAGTCGAATCACTGTCTTGGGCTGCCCATAGTCTGTTCTTGTGTTCCCCAATGATCTTGGAAAACTCGACAAGTCGATCCATGCTTGTCTCAACCAACCCCATGCATACATGTATGTCGGACCACAACTTGTTAACCATGAACTTCTTTTCATCCCGCTTTGCACATTGATCGGAAAGGCTATCAAGTATATGAAACATAGGGTTCATGACAGCAAGTTTTGTCCACCTCGACACAATATGTACAGGTGGTATTACCTCCAGGTTTATGTCTTTAAACACGACAAACATGTTACTACACACCAGTCCATACATCTCAAAGTGTTTGCACTAGCACTTTGAGGTATTAAGCCTTACATTGTGCACAACTGTAAAAGTTTTTCCATCACCATCTTTTATCACGAACGTCAGGTGGCTGCTCTCTTCAGAAAAAGTCATAACTCAACATTTGTAACATGCATCACATAGCTCATTTTGCACACGATAGAATATCGTGGTGGTGTATGCATTAAGGGCTGGCTTTTCAATAGGCAATGGAGTTTTTAACTTAGCCTGATGAGTTTCATCATCGCATTGTAACTTCATCGATTTGTTCCATTGTGCATCCATCGCACTATCAAAGTGCAACAAGAACTCGACCAAACTAGAATGATTATTTGTGAAGCTACTAAACCAATTGTTTTCACTTTCCGATCTAGATGTAGTCCTCATCAACCCACTCATTCTAATATCTCTAAAATATGCCGGTATCCAGTGTTCTCTCTTGGCAAACAAATCAATAAACCAACTATGTGTTTCCAATGAATATTCATTCATTATTCCAGCCCATTTAGATTCAAAGTCAGAAGGCTCAATGTTCCGAGACCAGACAATTTCGTTTATCCGCCGTTTGAAATTAGCATCATTAATTAAAGAATGACCGACCTTATCACACAACTTATTCATTATGTGCCACATGCAAAAGCGGTGTTTGCTACTAGTGAATACCTTGGTGAATGCAATTCCGATCGATGGATCTTGGTCTGTGATGGCGTAGCTAGGCTCATGGATCATGGCGTCTTTGAAATTTTCAAATACCCATACATACGAATTCACGTCTTCCTTTGATATCAAAGCGGTGGCGAATGTTACGCACTTGTTGTGGTTGTCTATCCAAGTAAAAGGTGCAAACACCATATTGTACCTACAATATCCAATTATAACAAACATCAATATATTTTGGTCGTATATATATTATGCAGTACTATATTTTTGCACGATTGTTTTAAATGGATGTGCAGAACTCATTTACCTGTTTGTGCGGTATGTTGCATCAAATGATACAACATCCCCGAAAGACCCGTAGTTTCTGCGTGATATTGGATCAGCCCAAAAAAGCCTCCGCAAGCAGTCATTCTCATCTAACTCATACTGAAAATAAAAAGCGGAACTATCCTCCTGACGTTTATAGAACTTTTCTATTACCAATTGAGCGTCGGCGCCCGAAATGTATGCAAGTAGTTCCCTTTTGAAGTTTTTGAAGTCCACATGGGTTGCGCCAACACTCGAATACCCGCCGACCATCTCTTTATACAGCTTGGAAGACTTGGTGGGGCCTATATTTGCTTTTATACAGTTGAGAACAAAATTTTGATTTGCAGCAGTCATTGTTCGATTGACCTTCAGTTGTGACCTGCACTCATCAGGGGTCATGGCATGGTTGTGTTTTTCCTCGAAAAATCTAATAACATACCCATTATTTCCATCAGCTCGTAGCATAATTCGTGCAGTACATCCAACTCGGTTGGAGATCCTACGCCTTCTAACACGACCCTGATTTAGTACCAGTTGGCATGTGTTTGAGCGATTCTTGTACCCTTCACGCGAGCACACCAAGTATTTCCAAAGCACTATCGTCTTATCTCTTGATTTCACCAGGGTGCTTTGTCTAACGTCAAAACCAACCGTAGAAGCGTAGATCCGGTAGAAATCACTTGCTTTGCTTAACCCCTTAAATCGTTGTCCACTGTGAGGTCGAATTGCGTCGTCACATTGGGGTATCCAATACTTTGTGCCCCCCGGTGTTATTATGAGTTGATGGTGTTGGGACGTCTCGTTCGGGTTTGTGTCCGCAATACGTTATGGGAAATAAACAACAATAAGTTAACAAATAAAAATAAATATATTACAGAGTGAATGCACGTCTACC